ATTGAGCCTCTACATGGTGGCTCGTGCCTGTAATCTCAGTACTTAGGGAAGCCAAGGCAGGAGAATTGCTTGAGCCTAGGAGGTCAAGACCAGTGTGGGCAGCATAGTGAGACCCCATCTTTACAAAAAATTAAAAATTAAAATAAATAAAATTGGAGAGATCTCCTGATAAAATCCAGAGTTTGCTTTTCTTGAAGAGCTGAGAGCTGGCTTCATGGGACCTGTGTGTACCACACTGAGTCACAGCTCGGTGGAGTCTGCCTGTCCTGGCCAGTGCACAAGGCTCCTGGAAGTCAAGGTCCCTGAAGTCCCCTAGGGACCTTTGTATGGTTTTGACCCTCCTGGGATGGGGGATAGATATTTGCACAGCAGGCAGATGTTACCCCTTGTTTCAACTTTGTAGACTTAATGGTTTCAGGAGCACTGTATTGAGGTGGATTTTGAGGCATGGTTCTCACCTCAGCTACAAGGTGGGGGTTCCAGGACACGGAGATAGAACCTGGAGTCCACAGTCATTCCAGTCAAGGACAGGCTGTGGAGGATGGGAATTGGCAAGGGTGTTTGCCTATCGGCCCTTAGGCCTCCAACTCAGAAGTGTGGGCCGGGGACGTCCTAAGCCTGCCCGCCCTTCAGGTGTCCAGGTGGATGGGGAGAACTCCGAGGGGCAGACGGCGCTCTTCCTCTCTGCGCTGCTGGGTCACATCTCTGCCGTGCAGCTCCTGCTGACCTTTGGTGCCAACCCCAACCAGTGAGTGGCCAGCCAGTGATGCCTCCCATCCTAGGGGCCTGACTTTGAGTGCCTGAGAGCCAGGGCTTTCTTCTCCTGAGGCATCTTTTCCTCGTGACACCTCTTCCATTCTTTGGTGACCCTCCTGTCACCCCAGTGACCCTCCTTGTCCTCTCAGTTAACCCCTTCGCATTCCCCACTGACAATTCCATTCTCCAGGTGCCTCCGTGTTGGCAGTGATCCTCACCCTCTAAAGACCCCATCATGTCCTCACCTGACCCCGCCCATCCTCATATGACTCCTCCCACCCCTCAGGGCCTCCATCCTGCCCCTTTTGGTCCCTCTTCAGTCCCTTCCCTAATTGACTCGCACTTGCCTTGTTCTGCTCTAGCCGCTGCCTGGATGGCAGCACCCCTGTACACGCAGCCGCCTTCTCTGGCCGAAGCCTGGTAATGCTGCCCCTGCTGCAGGCGGGGGGTGACTTGCGACTGCATGACCAGCGGGGTCGCACCCCCCGAGACTGGGCTGAGCAGGGTAGGGCCCAGCAGAACTGGGAGGTGAGCAGTGGCCTTGGTGGGAGCGAGAGTTCCGGGCCGGCTCCCACCGGGCCTCACCCCACGTGCCCTCCTCCAGGTGCTGGAGCTGTTCCAGCTCTGCGGGGCCCACATATCAGCCTTGCTGCATGGTGGTGAGTTGCCACCCATGGCATCTCTGGGCCAGTTGCAGGCCAGATCTGGGAACAGCCCGCCTGACTCCCTGTCCTCCCTGAGGCTGATGCAGGCAGACAGGTAACTGTCCACACCCTGAAGCCCACCCGCCCGCCATGCCCAGCTACCCCAGCCTTATCCTCGGCCTGCCCCCATCCCAGGGCGCTGAGACTAGCGCAGATCAGGAGAGCCCCCCAAGTTCCGGCCTTGGGGTTTGGTCAGGTAAGCGGGAACGGCTGGGGGCGTGGGAACCACCCGTCTTCTTCGTGCCTCATGGTCCTGCTCCTTGTCCCCAGCTGAGTAGCCTGTGGCCGCTGGGGCTGGTGACGGGCATCCCCCTTGCGGACCCCAAGGAGCTGCTGGCAGCCCAGGGAGAGGCCGACCGCACCTACGAGAGCAGCTCCCACACCCTCATGGCCAAGTGAGAGCCCCACCACACCCTTGTCAGCTCTCTTGCGGCCCCCCTGGGAAAACCCCCCTTGTCTCAGACCTGTCCTGCCCCCACCCCCCATTCTCCAGCCTCCTGTGGAGGGGTCACCCCGTGACCGTGCGGCAGCTGAAGTCCCCTGGAACCCAGCCTGATGTGCTCCTGGCTGACCTTCAGCACTGCAGGTACCCGTGCCAGCCCCCAGCCCAGCCTCCTGCCGGCCCTCCCGTGGAAGACCAGGGTGTGTGGCTGTAGCCATGGCTGGAGTCTTTACTTCTGGACCAGCACCTGGCACGGAGCTCTCCCGCTGGGGCGATCCCCCCACTGGACAGTGGGTGGGTACCAGTTCTGTGTGCAGTGCCCTGTAGGCCTGAGAGGAGGTGGGGGTGGAGAGGGCACCAGGACAAGGTGGGAGCCGGGTGCTGGCCCTCCACTGCTAGGCTGCGTGACCCAGGGTCATTCTCCTCTGTCTGGGGGTGGGTGCAGACCACCTGACCCGGAACGTGGTGGGTGGTCTGTGCCCAGGAGCAGCTCCCACCCTGTGTGGCTGGGGCCTACTCCTGAGTGGCCTGCTCTCCTCCTGCCCAGCACGCTGCACCACCCCGGCCTGTTGCTGCTGATGGCACTTAGCCCCTCTGCAGACCTGTCGGGGCTGTGCCTTCTCTTTGAGCCTGTGTGGCTCGGCTCCCTGCACGGGGTGCTGCACCCTCGGGGACCAAGTGAGGAGGGACCCCGGACTGTGCCGGGCCTGCCGCCTGGCCCCCTGCTGCTGCAGGTGCTGGAGGCCCTGCTGTTCCTGCAGGCCCGCTGGCGAGCTCACGGCGGCCTCAGCTCCCATGCTGTGCAGCTGGTGCGGCCAGGCCTGGCTAAGGTGGGCCACCTGGAGCACGGGCGCCCCCTGCACCAGCGCTGGCTGCGGCCCAGGTGAGCCCCTGCCGCACCTGCTGCCCCTTGTCTCGGGCCTGCACGCCGCTCCCTTCCTCCCCATTCTCCAGCCTCTGTGGCCAGGCACAGCTGTGTCCTGTAGGCCCCAGGAAGGGGGTGGGGGTGGGGGTGGGGGTGGGGAGGAGCACTGAGAGTGTTACAGGAGTTGGTTGCTGGCCCTCCCACTGCTGGGCCGCTGTGTGACCTGGGGTCTCAGTTTTCCTCGGTCTGGTGGTGGGTGCAGGTCCCTGTCCAGCAGCCATCGGCTCACCAGGCTCCTTGGGGTCCACAGGCCACAGCAGGGTTACCCGTGGGGAGGCCCAGGCCCAGGGCTTCCCCCACCCCCTGAACTGTACCCATGGCTGCCACTTGAGCTGATCTGCAGTGACACTCCCACCACCACCTCGGACCTCTACAGCTTCTGCACCCTGGCCCAGGAGGTCTTCACTGGTCAGTGAGTGGCTGTGCCCTGCCCCAGGGAGGCACCCTCCTGCTTGGGTCCCTAACTGTGCTTCCTGGCAGGAGAGCTGCCCTGGGCTGGTAGAGGGGGACCCGAGGTGAAGGCCAAGCTGGAGGCAGGGGAGAGCCCGGCCCTGGACCCTCGGGTGCCGGCGCCCTACCAGGCCCTGGTTCGAGCTGGGCTAGGCCTGGCACCTGCCGACCGCTGGGGCAGCCTGCAGAGTACCCGATACCTACTGCGGGAGGCCACGGCCCAGGTACAGGGCAGGTCGGCAGGGTGTGGGTGGTGGCCGTGGGACCCCAGGCAGGCCCATGTCCCCATACCCAGCCTCTGGTCCACAGGACATGGCTCCTGAGGTGGGCTCCCCGATGGAGTGGACCACGCTGTCCCCTGCATCCCAGGCTTCCCCACCAGGTTAGAGGGCAAGGAGGAGGAGACAATGGCGGGTGCTGGGCACAGCTGAGCTGTGCCCCCCATCCGACCAACTGGTTTGCCCCCACAGAGAAACTGTACTGTGAAATGGCTCACAGAGCCAAGAGCACACCCAGGCCTGTGCCCACTCTGATGTCTCCAGGCCCCATCCCATCCCAGGTGGGAGCCAGGATGGGGCTGTGGGGGGCCAGGGGAGCTGTGGGACACCTGGGCAAGCCACGGCAGCTCTCTGCCATTCCTCTCTGCAGGCCCCGGAGACTCCTGAGGTCACAGGCCACAGCAGGGTCCCGAGGGGCGTAGCTTGGAACTCGGGCAGCAGTTTGACTCTAGGCAGCAGCCCCGGGCCTGGCCACAGCCCCACAGCCAGGGCCTACCTGCAGTGCTGCGGAGAGCCCGGCTCAACGGTACGGATACCCCAGAGCCCTGCACCGCTGTCCCATTGCTAACCTGTGGCCCCCTCCGCCCGCCCTCCAGTAGTCACCAACCCCGAGTTCCCTGGCTGCCCTCCTTTGACCAGGGAACTTCAGGGACGCCCAACTGTCCCCTCTCTCACCTGTGACCCTTAACCAACCCTGCTTCCCCCAGGGCCCTTCCCTGCACTCCACCTCCAGCCTCCAGGACTCAGCCTCCCTGCTGGGGACCCCGAGCTCTGCGGAGCACTTTGAGGAAGCTCTCGGCCAAGACTCTGGCCCTGCAGGGGCTGCTGCGGCACACACACAGGGTTACCCTGCTGGACCCCCAGCCCTGTGAGCCCACCCCCAGCCTGCTGAACCACAGGGAGGCTTCCCACACACTGGGAGGCTGCCGGCACGGAAGGCCATGGGCAGGCTAAGCAGAGGACCCCGAGCCCGGCCTGTGCCCCATCCCACACTCCCAGGCCCGCTGGAGCGCCACGGCTAGCCAGGTGGCAGCTGCAGCCTTCTCTCCTGCAGACACCCGGTGCTGAGCTGACTGGAGGAGGTCTTTTCCCCAGCCTGCAGAAGTGAGACCTGAGACCTTGCATGGGAGGACCCCGAGGCCCTTCTTTATCCCTGAGGTAACCCTCGGTCTACCCTTGCCTCCCTGCTCCCCAGGATGGACCTGCTGGAGGAGATCATGGCAGAGCTGCAAAAAGGATGTCAGCTCGGAGAAAAGCCCAGCCTGAGCCCCACTCCTGACCCAGACTCCCAGGGTACCCATGGTTCCCTCTCTGAGATACCGCCTCTCAGAGCTTCCCAGGAGTAACTCCCACCATGGTGCCTCCCCAAAAGGAAATAGAATGATAGAGCACCTCCTCCGTCCCTCTTCACTCAGTGAGTTTGGCCCCAGCACGACACCAGCAGCCACATTTTCACCATTTTATTCGTTAACGTTGTCAGATGGTTTAGTGGGGCATGTGGGGAGAGAAGGGCAGGAACTGTCCCTCCACCCCCATGCACAGGTTAGGACATGCTGGGGGCTCCTGGAGGGAGAGGAGGATGGGGTCAGCCTAGCGCCCCCTCCCCAGATTTGTGCGAGGACCCCCAGGATGGAGGGAGGTGGGGGGTGGGCAGACCCTTCAGCCCAGGATAGGGAAGCTGGGATTACAGGTTAGAAACCCACATCAGAAACAAGTTAGAAAGTTAGAAACCTGGGGTAGGGGTCAGGGCTCAAGAAAATACAAAACAAGGGATTTGTCTGGGCCAAGATCCAGCGAGGATGAAGGGAAGCAAGGACGGCCCCTCCCAGCTGGCGCTCAGCAGTAGCTTCGGGTCTGGCCCTCAGAGTGGAGGGACCAGCTGGGAGTGGGGTAGGGGGGTGGGGGTCCAGCCCCCTCCCCTCTTTGTCCTCCATTTCTGTACAAGGACCCTCGGTGGAGCTCACCCCCCGTCCCGTAGGCCGGTGGGGCTGCCCTGTAGAGCAGGAGAGGCTCAGGGGGGCCCCAGGGACTGGGCACCCTGTGAGGGGTTCGGGGGCCCCAGGGTGCCCGTTGTTTCTGGGGAAGGCGGGGAACTGGGGGACCGGGATCTGAACGGCTTCGGGGGTGGGCAGGAGGAGGGGAAGAGGAGGAGGAAGAGGCAGGTGAGGGACCCCTGGGCCCTAGGGCTAGGTTGACGTACAGGGGCTCGGGCTGGGTCGGGGGCCGGGCAGTGTGCTGGGGGGCTGAGTAGCCAAGGTGGTCGGGGGGAAAGCAGGAGGGGGCGGGTGGGTAGCTGAGCAGGAAGTCGGGGGACCTGTGGAGTGGGGGCGATTGGCCCAGCATGCCGTAGGAGGCATTGAGCCTGTCAGGGGGCATGGAGCGAAAGGGACTCCAGGAGCAGGCGGGGCCAGAATAGGGGGACCCCTCACCTGCCCCGATCTCATAGTACGGGTTCTCTCCCCTGTCGAGGCGTGCAGGGGGCCCCAGGGAGCTCCTCCAGACTGGGGCTGGGGAACTGGGCTGGAAGGATGGGGGGCCCAGAGGGTACAAGCCTGGCTTGGGGACCCCAAGGAAGGGTGGCAGG